AGGGGAGCGAGGTTCTTTAATTAGAGCTAATGATTAATGAGACCACTAAAGGTACTAAATTAACCGGACCTGCTAGCAAGGAATCGAGAGTGGAAATAAAAATAAAAGCGGAATAAATTTTAAGATAATGAAACAGAAACTGAAAGCTAAAATATATACCGTTCTAGAATGCCTCCGCAAACTATTGCTCCTTTGTAAAGCACGTGTTAGTAAGTGTAGTAAAAAGCTAAAAATATAAAGCTATAAAAAGAACGGAGCGTTGAAAATCTGAGAGGGTGAGACTGAGAGGTTCTTAATTAATAACTTAGAGCGTAATAAGGAATATGAATATCTCCAACGGAGTTTTCTGAGAGGGTGAGAGTTCTTACATTAGAGCTAATGATTAACCACTGCGACCCACTAAAGGTACTAAATTAACCGGACTGCTAGCAAGGAATCGAGAGTGGAAATAAAAATAAAAGCGGAATAAATTTTAAGATAATGAACAGAACTGAAAGCTAAAATATATACCGTTCTAGAATGCCTCCGCAAACTATTGCTCCCTTTGTAAAGCACGTGTTAGTAAGTGTAGTAAAAAGATACAAATAATAAAGCTATAAAAATGAACGGAGCGTAGAAAATCTGAGAGGGTGAGACTGAGAGGTTCTTTTAATTAATAACTTAGAGCGTAATAAGGAATATGAAATCTCCAAACGGAGTAGTTTTCTGAGAGGGTGAGAGGTTCTTTAATTAGAGCTATGATTAAATGAGACCCACTAAAGGTACTAAATTAACCGGACTGCTAGCAAGGAATCGAGAGTGGAAATAAAAATAAAAGCGGAATAAATTTTAAGATAATGAAACAGAAACTGAAAGCTAAAATATTACCGTTCTAGAATGCCTCCGCAAACTATTGCTCCTTTGTAAAGCACGTGTTAGTAGTGTAGTAAAAGATAAAAGAATAATAAAGCTATAAAAATGAACGGAGCGTTGAAAATCTGAGAGGGTGAGACTGAGAGGTTCTTTAATTAATAACTTAGAGCGTAATAAGGAATATGAATATCTCCAACGGAGTTTTCTGAGAGGGTGAGAGGTTCTTTAATTAGAGCTAATGATAAAGAGACCCACTAAAGGTACTAAATTAACCGGACTGCTAGCAAGGAATCGAGAGTGGAAATAAAAATAAAAGCGGAATAAATTTTAAGATAATGAAACAGAAACTGAAAGCTAAAATATATACCGTTCTAGAATGCCTCCGCAAACTATTGCTCCTTTGTAAGAGCACGTGTTAGTAAGTGTAGTAAAAAGATAAAAATAATAAAGCTATAAAAATGAACGGAGCGTTGAAATCAGAGAGGGTGAGACTGAGAGGTTCTTTAATTAATAACTTAGAGCGTAATAAGGAATATGAATATCTCCAAACGGAGTTTTCTGAGAGGGTGAGAGGTTCTTTAATTAGAGCTAATGATTAAATGAGACCCACTAAGGTGACTAAATTAACCGGACTGCTAGCAAGGAATCGAGAGTGGAAATAAAAAATAAAGCGGAATAAATTTTAAGATAATGAAACAGAAACTGAAAGCTAAAATATATACCGTTCTAGAATGCCTCCGCAAACTATTGCTCCTTTGTAAAGCACGTGTTAGTAAGTGTAGTAAAAAGATAAAAATAATAAAGCTAATAAAAATGAACGGAGCGTTGAAAATCTGAGAGGGTGAGACTGAGAGGTTCTTTAATTAAAAACTTAGAGCGTAATAAGGAATATGAATATCTCCAAACGGAGTTTTCTGAGAGGGTGAGAGGTTCTTTAATTAGAGCTAATGATTAAATGAGACCCACTAAAGGGTACTAAATTAACCGGACTGCTAGCAAGGAATCGAGAGTGGAAATAAAAATAAAGCGGAAAAAATTTTAAGATAATGAAACAGAAACTGAAAGCTAAAATTATATACCGTTCTAGAATGCCTCCGCAAACTATTGCTCCTTTGTAAAGCACGTGTTAGTAAGTGTAGTAAAAAGATAAAAATAATAAAGCTATAAAAATGAACGGAGCGTTGAAAATCTGAGAGGGTGAGACTGAGAGGTTCTTTAATTAATAACTTAGAGCGTAATAAGGAATTGAATATCTCCAAACGGAGTTTTCTGAGAGGGTGAGAGGTTCTTAATTAGAGCTAATGATTAAATGAGACCCACTAAAGGTACTAAATTAACCGGACTGCTAGCAAGGAATCGAGAGTGGAAATAAAAATAAAAGCGGAATAAAATTTTAAGATAATGAAACAGAAACTGAAAGCTAAAATATATACCGTTCTAGAATGCCTCCGCAAACTATTGCTCCTTTGTAAAGCACGTGTTAGTAAGTGTAGTAAAAAGATAAAATAATAAAGCTATAAAAATGAACGGAGCGTTGAAAATCTGAGAGGGTGAGACTGAGAGGTTCTTTAATTAATAACTTAGAGCGTAATAAGGAATATGAATATCTCCAAACGGAGTTTTCTGAGGAGGGTGAGAGGTTCTTTAATTAGAGCTAATGATTAAATGAGACCCACTAAAGGTACTAAATTAACCGGACTGCTAGCAAGGAATCGAGAGTGGAAATAAAAATAAAAGCGGAATAAAATTTTAAGATAATGAAACAGAAACTGAAAGCTAAAATATATACCGTTCTAGAATGCCTCCGCAAACTATTGCTCCTTTGTAAAGCACGTGTTAGTAAGTGTAGTAAAAAGATAAAAATAATAAAGCTATAAAAATGAACGGAGCGTTGAAAATCTGAGAGGGTGAGACTGAGAGGTTCTTTAATTAATAACTTAGAGCGTAATAAGGAATATGAATATCTCCAAACGGGAGTTTTCTGAGAGGGTGAGAGGTTCTTTAATTAGAGCTAATGATTAAATGAGACCCACTAAAGGTACTAAATTAACCGGGACTGCTAGCAAGGAATCGAGAGTGGAAATAAAAATAAAAGCGGAATAAATTTTAAGATAATGAAACAGAAACTGAAAGCTAAAATATATACCGTTCTAGAATGCCTCCGCAAACTATTGCTCCTTTGTAAAGCCACGAGTTAGTAAGTGTAGTAAAAGATAAAAATAATAAAGCTATAAAAAATGAACGGAGCGTTGAAAATCTGAGAGGGTGAGACTGAGAGGTTCTTTAATTAATAACTTAGAGCGTAATAAGGAATATGAATATCTCAAACGGAGTTTTCTGAGAGGGTGAGAGGTTCTTTAATTAGAGCTAATGATTAAATGAGACCCACTAAAGGTACTAAATTAACCGGACTGCTAGCAAGGAATCGAGAGTGGAAATAAAAATAAAAGCGGAATAAATTTTAAGATCCTTCATATACTTAATCGAAGTTTGAATATTGTCACTCCGCAAGCGTTTTTGCCAAATTTTCGACGCGCACTACGCGCAAAAGCATTTAGTTGTTATCAATTGGCACCCCGCGCGTTCATCATAAATTTCAAACAGCTATAACTCAGCGAGATTATGTCCGTTCTAGCTCATATTTTCACACTAAAATAGAAAATAATGTGATCTTATTGCTGACAAAATATGGATATAATTACTTTATTTGCCTTAGAGTAATAGACTGTCAAAGTTTAAAACGCGCATTGGTATAGCACGTGACTAATAAGGCCAAATTTATACTTCTTAACATATTATCGATCCTTAGACATCATACTATTGTGTCCAATTAGCGGTTAGGTCTCTAAACTCGTAGCAGAAAACACGTCTTTTTGCCCGTAAGAGCCTCTACTAATATCCGGGTTGATCGATTTGTTCCAAAGTTCAGCGTAATAGAGATTGAATTAGTAATCCATTTACCTGGAAGTTAATACGTTACACGAACCGTGCTCACCTTGTAGTTTAACATCGAGAACACTGGAAAAAGGGAAAATAAATAACTCAAATCCAACACCTCAGCTATATACCAGCCCTATGACGATTCACCGAAACAGTCAGGCACCCCCAGCTTCCATTGAGCCCCCAATTTTATACCGAGCCCCCACCTCTTACAAAAGTTTCAGTATTTGATCAGGAATCGTCTCAATCCGGGACACTGACCCAGACTCTTAGAGAAATAGCAATTTTTGCATCTCGTCAATTGTCATTAAGAGAGAGTGGGCGGGAAGCGTAGAAATTTTAGTGACAAATTATGCTGCTATTGGGAGTGTCAATCACAATCTATATTAAGTGTGTACTGACATCGAGTTCTTTGGAGTAGGTATCAGCCGCTTAAAGTTAATGATATCACGAGCTTTATGAGTAGGTATCCGCCACAATTGACTAATTTCAAGGCTTTAGAGCCTTCAGTCACTATTTACTTAGGTATATTCAGAGTGTTGGAGGTGTCGGTCACTGTCTGTAGGTGTAAGTATCTTTATATTAGATGTGTTGGCCGCTAAGGACTGATATTAGTAGCTTTGGAACTTGGAAGAGACGACTTTTTGCTAACTAATCAGTACTGAAGATATAGTCAAACCTGGGTTGTGCCTATTCAATGGTAGTGTCTGCAGCCACTTTGCAGCCAACTTCTAGAGCTAGAAATTTTGGGCTTATACTTTGGTTTTGATCGGATTGGGCCAATTTTCCGTTGTTTCGTGCATGTGATTTAAGCACTTAAGGGGACGCCCATTAATATTCTAGTCCGCCGTCCATGCAGAGTCAGACGCTATGTTATATGTTAGAGTTCCACATAACTAAGATTGGGAAGAAATAAGAGACTCGATTGACCCGCACTTTCCAATCATCTTATCATGGCCTCCATAAAGTGGGTTACAAATTTTAAGCCTTTTTTAGGCCTTAAAGTTCCCATTTCACATTTATGATTTTAATTTAAAATCATAAATGTGAATATATTTATTTTGCGAGCTGCAGCAAGACGGCTATTACCCGTTAAATCATTGATTGATATGCAAGTCGAGAATAACGGTTTAATTTAAGAATGCACCCGTTTGGGTATCACTATTTTATCGTCGATGATTGTGTAATACTAATAACAACTTTTTCAGATGGTAAAACTGGAGAGGTAGCCGATTTACACGGGGAGCAGGAGTAAGAAGAATACGATCTAAAGAGGACTCTGAAGGACGAGAAGGCCTCGACATCGCGTACGACTCTGTACGACTGAGGCAGGATAAAGACTTTTGGACGTATAGACAGGACTTTGAATATTGTTTTGAAATAATGGGTATTAAAATTATGATACAGACTAGAGATTAAGTTTTGGGATAAAGTTTTGAACGAATAATCTTGTGCTTATGAGTTTTCAAGAATCCGATTTAGCAGAAGTTTAGATCATGAAATGTTAAATTATCATTACTAGAGAAATTGTGTAATACTGTTGTTATGTTTTGAGTATTAAATGTTTTTAAAATGAGATGTTTTTTCGACTTAAAGCCACCTATAACTAAAAATAAAACGTGATCAATAAAACGTTTGATTAAAACTAAAATAAGCGATAAATTTCTACTTGAACTTGATCTGTACTAGCGAGCCTTTGAGCGCGCAAAAACATGCGCGTCTAATTCTATCACAAACGATCACGGTTACAATTTGTAGATTTAAGCGCCTGATCCACATGATGCATGATGCAAACATTGCCATTTTCGGTCACACAGTAACTGCAAAACAACTATAATACTCTTACAAAGTCCTGCTTGAAAGGGTCTTCAGAATGAAGAGGATTCCTATACAGAGAAGAAGTTGTCAGCACTTCAATGTCATGTTAGTCACATGACAGTGAAAATCTGATCACATGTCCGTTACTTTGAGCTTTATATACTGCGTTACTTCGTGTTGCACTTTGCAGCTCACCTAGAATGTTTAAATTGGCAGTGAAATGATGAAATCGATATATCTTGCACTTTTCAGCCTCCGTGATTTCCTAGTTCTGCTTCTTTGTTTCTGTCGTCATAATGTGTGCTCCCGTCATCAAATCTAAACACCGTGTCCCTATTCAACGACGTGCGTTAACTTAATTTAGATTTGAGGCAATTTGAATCAAGATGTCCGAGGTTTCTTCATCATTATAGAATTAAGTGCTTCAGTTACTGCCTTGCATTGTGATTTGTTTTGTCTTGTGCCTTAGAAGCTGTAATACTACCTCGGAGTTAGAGGGACCAGAACACCGTGGAAGAGGACATCTTCATTCCACACTGACGATTTTGGCCTCCTAGCAGTAGCACACGACGCCGGGATAGACACGAGACAATAAACATTAAATTTTAAACAACATGATATGCACATTGGACTAATGATGCTGTTTTTCCCACTTTATGGAGAGAATGCTTATGATTATAGTTTCAATTAACACATTTTGAAGATGACTGGATTTATTGTTCATTTGCATGCTATGTATTGTATTTCGGTTTATCTTCACCCATAAAGGGTTTGACCGTTGGGAGCGGTATCAAAAAAAGTTACAGTTCAAGACTAGATACATGAGACGGCTCAGGTATTATAATTCATGCACGCGCACGAATTTATTTGGATATTGGCTGGCGTAAATTGCTGACAATTGTGTCATATATAGACAGGGATTTTACAAGTCGCTTTATTTGGTCAACTAAGGTCAAAATCGTTTCAAATTTTCAAAATCTTTAGGAAATATGCCCTTCTGCTACGCATCACTTGGATTTTTTCCGCACTTGAAAGGCAAAAACGCCAGAGTCGAAAATGTACTTAAATTTCGTGAAACGTAGGTTTTTGATGATTAAGACCTGTTCCAGTGGCCCAATTGCTTATATATTGTGCTGCCAATCAGAGGGACATATTTCCTATAGACTAGGAAAAGTTGAAACAATTTCGACTTTAATTGACCAAATAAAGCTACTTCTAATTGATTTTATACTTCCGGCCCAATTCGAGGGGGTCTACTAGACGCAAAACGACAGCATTTAGGGCGCGCATACGATTGTACACCCCCTACTTTCATAAAACTTTATTACTAGCTTGGCGTTGTAGGATTATATACTTTAATTTCGGATCGAGTGAAGCGAGTGATACACATTACTTTGATTAAACTCATGCTGATCACAATACAGTACAGGGAAATGGGTAACACGGCTTGCAGTCGCAGCTGCGACTCCTCGCTGGGGATGATGATTAATCACTCTACACTCGACTGTCACGTGACTTTTTCAACCCGTTCTCTAGCTGGCCCTGAAAGACTATTCGAAACCCTAACCCTCTAGTCTGATTCCAACCCTGACCCTAACCCAATCCATAACAAAAGCATATGCTGAAACCCTAACCCTAACGAGAAATTAGACTAACTTCCTTATACGGTCATATCACGTGATCGAGACAGTTTTTCGCCAATATCTCGTCAGGGGAGCATTTTAACCCTATGTCATGGGGGGTGATTCGGAATCAGCGTCCGAAAATACATCGATTGAAGTTGGTTTCAACTGTCGTGAGCCCTTTTAGAACAATCTCGAAGATCGACTGTAAAGTGATTTAGCACGCTCGCCTCGCTGGCGTTACCTGAGGACCCCAGGCTATTATGTTCATTAACAATTAACCCCAAATCCGCCGAATAAAGATTTGGCGGAATGACAGGCTGAGCGCGGCCCAGTAACGCTGGCGGTAATATTTCAATGAACAAGAATTAAGAAAAAGCTTTTTCTCTAGAGAATTTAAGAAAAAGAGAATTTTATTTGCCACAGAATAATCAATACATATAATATACTTCAAAAAAAAACTTCAAAATATATTGTTAGTTCATCTATCGTTCATAAGATGGGGTACTCTCAATAATCAAGTACATGAGTACCCGACCCGCCGCGCCACGCAAGCACCACACTGCAATTGAAATTGGAGATGTAAGCATAATGGGCGCGGGGGCGCCGCGCACGTGGACGCACCAAATTTTTCGGACAGTTGTGAAAGCCCAATTGGAAGGTCTTCGCCAATTTCCAGAATGATCTCATTTAAGGAACTGAAGATAAATCCGATTTATACGACAAAAATGGTCAAATTTGGACGAATTTGGTCAAATTACGCGACTTTTACAGCTACTTTTGCTCCAAAAGCCGCGCACCATCAAATATGGCACCTAGGCGAAACTTGACCATTGTTAATGGTCTGACCCGGCGCGCGCTACTTCGTAGCACTTGTGACTTGCCATCGGGCCATTACATAACATTTCGAGAAGAAAGCGGCGCGCGCTACTTCGAAGAAATTTAGACGAGTAACATCCGTCAAGGCGAAACTCACTGATCTTTCCAAAAAGGTATAACAAATTTGGTATTGTGAAAATTCTCACAGTCTCTAGAAAACAGTGGTACAAAATTTTTTAAAATCCAAGCAACTTTATTTTTATCGTGCACCCCCTATAAAAAGAAACCTAGCCAGAGTGGAAGTCGGTGCCCTCATTAAATTTTTGGAGAAAATCGCTCGCGCTCGCCAAAATTTGTTGGACCAGGACGATGTCCTAGCCTGGCAGCTCATTGCGCGTCGCAACGAGCTTCGTTGTTCGTCGACGTGCGACGAGCAACGAGAAAAATTGCGTGGCGCGTCGGGTGGCACATCTTAACGGGTGATACGCGTATAAATTTCGGTCGCTGACGTACAGCGAACATCACAGCTGCGAGTGGCGTCAGCTAGTAGGATTTAATCCTACAATGCAAGGCACATCGCGTTTATCTAGCTAACCAGGTGCTTTCGCGCCGCTGCGGGCGCGCTTGTTCCACAAGTCATTTCCGGCGGTCGCACGCTACTGCAAGCGAGAGGGCTATACCATATACTTAGAGCAACACATCGCGCCACAAGCCAAATATTTATCAACATCTTGACTAGCTACGCGGTCCTTTTCCGCATGCGCTCGCGCTGTGCTCAAAAATTGACGTCGTCAATCAATCAACATCAAGATTTTAGTTTTACATTTGACCTTTATGTCAAAAAATCTTTGAATTTTCAATCGGTGGTCGATGTTACCTGAGGACCTCAGGCTTCGTCCTTACTTCGTCACAGGACGATCGGAGCTCGAAGAGCGTAGAGAGTGCTGGCTGGCGTCGTCCTGTGATGGTCGACGTATTTTTGCTTGCTGGGATCCGGCCGAATGACGCCACATGCAACGTGTAGGGTAAAACTAAAAACGCTTCCCTATATGAGATAATATGACAAAAATTGTTTTGGTCACGTGACCAGTCAATGACATTGATATTTCGCTGCGGACGGTTTGGTGGAGGGTTAGGGTCAACGTTTATACATTATAGGGTCAAAGTTAGGACTAGAGTTGTACACTATTGACATTGTGAGGGTAATGGTTAAGGTTTATCACTAGCGACCTTTTCATCTGACCACAATATTGCAAAATGCTATGTTGTATGTCACGTGACAAATTTAGCCGAGGGTCGGAAGTCGGAGGTCGGAAGTCAGTGGACTCTGTTGGAGTCCGGCGGACTCCGCCAAGCTCCGCCGGACTCCGCCGGATTCAAGTCTGGCGGAGAGGTCCGGTGGAGTCCGCCAAGCACTCCGCCGGAGTCCGCGGCGGACCGGAGTCCGCCTAGTGGCTTAGTCCGCGGCGGACACTCCGCCGAGCCGCCGCGGAGCCGCTCGGAGTCCGCGGCGGACTTTAAAGTCCGCTCGGAGTCCGCCAAAATGTACTCGAGTCCAGTGTAAATACATTTGGCGGAGCACCGCCGGAGTCCGCTCGGAGTCCGCTCGGAGTCCGGCGGCTCCGCCGCGGACTCTACTCCGCGACGGATAGTGCCTTCACCGAAGATATGCGTCAGCGTAATTCAAATGCACGAAACTTAAACAATTTTACTATCAATTTGGTGAGAACCTCGCGAATTAGTCATAATTAAGATTTAAGGATAACCCTGGCCTTGACTTCAAGCAAAGATGATTGTTTTCATTAATCTCTGTACAATTATGACGGTCCATGATAATGGATCTATAATTTAATTTTAATCCTGTGTAAAAATCCTGTGTAAAAAATCCTGTGTAATCCAATCACATATGCAATGCTAACTAAGACATAGCTACTTGAATAAATAATTATAACTCGTGCAAGTCCGAAATGGGCCGTGTGCTGCTTCTAGGAAGTACATATGACAGTGCATATCAGCACACTGTTGGCTTTCTTAGAGACCTGATGAGAACCAAGCGGAAATCATGATTGCCTGGTAAGCAAGTTCACACTCATTCCGAATGGCGGTAGACTTTACAGCTACACTGCAGCTTACACTGTAGTGGGAATCGCGTCACTGATATCCTCCGAGCATAATTACCAGGATAAATCCTGTACCAATCACAGCTTGGTGACCTGGCCTGCCTGCCTCAGACGGGGTTTGAACCCCGGTCTTCCGCTTGGGAGGCGAGTGAATTACCACTACACCACCCGGCCGACTCGAAATGATTAGTATTGCCTTAATTCTGACCAACTCGGTATTGATACTCCGAACTCCTGCAGTTATTTCCTGCACTGAGTGGTGACAAGGATTATAATTACCAGTACGACCCGATACAGGCAGGATGTTTTCAGACACTCATATTCTCTTCGACTTCGGATCTTCTTTTGGCGGGCGGGCTGTACATCATATGTCCAGTTATTGCCATAGGTAGGTTGCAAAATCGGCTGTCCTATTTTAATTTATAATCGACTGAACTATTAATGGCTAGATCCAGAGTTATGAATAGTACTGGGCTACTTTGTTAGCCTATGTTATTACTTTAAAACTCCACACAGTGAAACATAAAACAATAATTGCAGCTGTCAGATACATGCATCTTCTAATAAACGAGGACGATAGAAGAAATTTGGCGGCAACTATCTCAAGACGGCTATTTGATACACCAACCATTGGCGTTAGAAACTACCGTACTCCTGCTTCTATCGGTAAGATTACGGATTATTGAGCGAAGAAACATTCTCGCTTATCAATCATACTCTAACATGGATAGTGGATACTATCTTCCCTTACAATAGCTCAAAACATGAATCATTTAATACTTTCAACACTACTATATAACAAATAATTTGAGGTATGACAATGGAAAGTCCGCTACGATGATAACAAACAGCGGTGAAGACAAGACAGCAGAAACAGAGAGTGTACAGCTACCAGACACCTGTGATCCGGAGATATCTCAACACCTGTCTTCTGAAGGTATTGCTTATGTTACACCTGTTGTTTCTCTGTTATGTGGAATCTGTCCCAAAGATCTTATATCAGAACCTTGTAGCATTCAATGTGATTCCTGTAAAACATTTTTCCATCCTAAATGTCTTGGTAAGTCTGCACCAGTGGACAGTGAACGGTGGGTTTGTCAGAAATGTAGGGATAATGTAGAGAACCAGCAGATCATTGATGCTCCTGACGAGGAAAATGATATCTGTTATAACTGTCCCGTATGTAGGAGTGTTGTGGGGGATTCGGATAAGGCATTGGGTTGTGATGGCTGTGAAGAATGGTTCCATGCACCTTGTTTGTTTATCAGTGAAACCGAGTACGCTGAGATGGATAATGAAGAGATATGGTTTTGTGATACTTGTCAAGCAGTGAAAGCAAACAAAATTAATTGGGGCTCAATGGTTGGTGAAGAGTTGATAGCTGAGAAAGTCCAAGCTGTTTATCAAGAGATGGTGACATGGAGAAAGAATCTTTTCCTAGTTCCCAGAGGTAAATCAGGTAGCGACTTTATAAAAGAACTGACTCGGCTCATCCTCTTATTTGCAGATGCTACCAAGTGGGAAAGGCTATCGTTCGCACTGGTTCATATCTTCTTGCCAATCATGTTGCAAAAACCGTCAAGCAAGTCAAAAGCAAGAGACCATGTAACATATCTCACCAAGCGTTTGGTTAAATGGAAAAATGGAGAACTTGACGATCTAATGATGGAGTGCAGGAGTATTCAGAAAGCCTTGGTGCAGCAACAAAAAATCAGCGAGGAATCCAGGAAGAAGAGTTTCTGCCGACTAATGCTTCTTGGGAAAGTTAAACAAGCCACCAAATTTGTTGACAGTTCCAATGACACCTTAGGAGTTCACAGCCTAACAGCAAACATTAAACAGGTCCTTGGGGAGAAACACCCTCCAGCTGTTAAAGCAGATCCAGTTGTTCTGCACCCTCACAGTACTCCTCCACCTCAGGAAGTGATATTTGAGAGGATCGACGCAGAGACTGTCAAGAGGGCTTGTTTATATTTGGATGGATCAGGCGGCCCAACACTAACGGACTCAGATTTGTGGAAGCATATCATCTGCAGCGAATCATTTGGCAAAGCATCAGTGACACTTGCTGAGTCTATAGCAATTGTTGCAAGGCGCCTTTGTAGAGAAGATATCCATCATAGCTGTCTGAAAGAGTTCACTGCATGCAGATTAATCCCTCTTGATAAAGGCCAGGATAAGAACGGGAAACCTGGTGTAAGACCAATTGGAATCGGCGAGATATTGCGCAGAATCATTGGAAAAGCAGTTATAATGTCTTTCAAAACTGATATACAATATGCTGCTGGCCCACTGCAGACCTGTGCAGGGCTCAAATCAGGAATAGAGGCTTCCATTCATGCAATGAGACAGATCTGGGAAGACAGTGACACTGAAGCAATACTACAGGTTGACGCTGATAATGCGTTCAATCGTCTTAATAGAGAAGCAGCCCTTCACAATGTTCATGAGATCTGTCCTCCGCTCTATCAGTATCTAAAGAACCACTACCAAAAGCCAGCAGACCTGATCATTAATACTACCGAGGACCACTACCAACTTAAGTCTGAGGAAGGTTCAACTCAGGGAGATGTAGCAGCAATGGCATTCTATGCGTTAGGGATCAAGCCTCTAGTTGATGACCTAGCCACAGCCTCCAAGCCCAGTGTTTGCAAACAGTCTTGGTATGCAGACGACAGTAGTGCTGGTGGAAAGATTGAAGGTATTAAGTTATGGTGGGATACGCTGTTGGAGCAAGGACCAAAGTATGGATATTACCCAAAAGCCAGTAAGACCGTCCTGATTGTGAAGAATAGCGAGGACCTAGATCTTGCGCAGAAAGTATTCTCAGGCACTGGTATTAAAATTGAGTCTGAAGGAGAACGCCATTTGGGTGCAGCAATTGGCAGCGAAGCTTTTAAGAACAAATATGTCTCAGATAAAGTCTATAAATGGTGTCAGGACATCAAGCTGTTGTCATCAATTGCTGTTGAGGAGCCCCAAGCTGCTTTGACTGCATATACTAAGGGAATTTGTCACCGGTGGACGTTCATTCAGAGGACCATCCCGGGTATAAGTCACTTGTTTCAACCATTGGAGGATTGCATCAGAACAGATTTTATTCCAGCAATCTTGGGTAAGAACGTATCAGACTTGGACCGCTCCATATTTGCATTGCCAGTCAGACATGGTGGCCTAGGTATCTCCAACCCAGTTGAAAACTGCAATAGAGAATTCACAGCCTCAGTCACCATCACAAAAGACCTCACAGACCTCATTATCAACCAGCAAAACACCCTTGAACATTACAACATGTCAATTCAAAATGACACTATAAAAAGTCTCAAGGCAATCAAGGAGAAACACTTATTTACGGTTAGCAAATCAATAGAGGACAGTGTAAGAGATCCCAACCTAAAGAGATCTCTCCAGTTCATCAAAGAGAAAGGTTCAGGATGTTGGCTTACTGCACTTCCATTGAAGAGATTTGGCTACTCCCTGAACAAGATTGAGTTCCGTGATGCTCTATACTTGCGTTATGGTTGGGAGATCCCTAACACCCCATTTCACTGTGCTTGTGGAGAGAGAAATAATGTGAATCACACACTTATATGCAAGAAAGGTGGCTATGTTTCTATGAGACACAACAACATCCGCGATCTAAATGCAGAGCTGCAGCGTGAAGTATGCAGAGATGTAGTGACTGAGCCAGCATTGATACCCCTTGATAATGAAGAAATTGTTGGTACCAATGCTGATAGAGCTGCACCTGATGTATCCTCACGAGGTCTCTGGAGCACATTTGAACGAACATTCTTTGATGTCTGTGTTACCCACCCCAACTCACCCACATATGTCAAAAAAGATATGGAACAGATCTATAAAGCTCATGAAATGAGGAAAATGAAAAAGTACAACAACAGAATCATCCAGGTGGAAAAAGGCACCTTTACCCCACTTATATACTCAACAAATGGCGGATGGGGTCCACAAGCCACAAGATACCACAAGAGACTCGCTGAAAAACTATCCCAGAAGAGAGGAGAAGACTATGCGGCTATTATGTGTTACATGCGCACAAGGATTAGATTCTCAATCCTCAGGAGCACCCTGATAGCGGTCAGGGGTGAGAGAGGGAGACGGCAATCGTATACATTGCCAGTCAGTGTAACTTCGTTTAACTTGATACCTGCCACCATGGACTATGAATGTTTCTAGACACTATCGTTTTGATATTGAGATATTGGTATCTCAGATCACGTGTACATCGTTCCTTTTTTTATGACACAGTAATTTATTGACACTCACAGCTATAATTTTAATCATTGAATCAGTATTTTTATCTATTAACTTATTACATATTTGTGCTCTGCTTTAGCATCACTTGACTATTTAAAAAAATTGTTTGTTCAGGCCATGACCTTATAGTCAGCTAGTTGGCCATTACTATATTATGTGTATATTGTTTGAATATTCTTTCTCCATTTTACTAAGTTATTGAAATGTGACGAAATTCACTAATCATTTCAGGATTTATGGGTTTGCTAACGGCGTGTCCTTGGCTGCTGTACAAGATAACCAAAGCTGGAGAAAACAACGAGCACCCTCGTTTACTAGTAGAGCTGCTCCAACTCCTTCTCTCCCTCAGTTCCGTCCTTGTTCCTGGCATCTACCTCGCCACTGTACCCACCTACTTCAGACAAGTCTTCTCACAAGACAGGTTCCCTTATCTTTATAAAATTGGTTTCGGCAGGAAGATCCCAGTTCGGAACAGCAGTAAAAGGCGGCAGTTTAGAAGGGATATTTTAGAGAAGCCTATAACTACGATTCAGGAGGAGGAGGAGAGCGAGGAGTACATTGAACTTCCGGCTGTGACTATTACAATTCAGGGGAGTAGTCCTAAGTCTCAGCAACGGAAAGTTGAGGATGGAATAACTTTTAAGAATGGCCATGCTTCAGTCAATGGGTCTGAAAATGTTGAGTTGATACCTTCTGTATAGCTCAAAGGATCCTATTATTAGATATGGTTACTTAATGAACTATATCACCAGGCACTGACACTTTTTATCTGTAGTCAGCACATCTAATTCTGTGTTTCAATCTACAAGGGAACAATATTGAAATAGTCATTGGCTATCTTGTATGGGACAGACAATGTCTTGAGGAAATGTTTCATCATTGATTGAATGAATTCGTAATGAAGTTTTAAATGTTTTATTAATCCTTCTCATCTATTGATTGATTGAAAGCCCCTCGTAAGGGGATTGTCTCTAATGGAATAATTTATTGTTTACATCATAGTCAGTTAAAAATAAAAACCCTAATTGGCACTCCTGAAAACATAACTACAAGAAAATATATCAAAACTAAATAGAAAAATGAGGTCAAATGTAATAAATCGTAACAAACTGCAAATTATTGGAATATACATTTTGAATTCGTTATTTAATGGCACGCAGCAAATTATAAAAAATGTAATAAAAGTTAGGCAAAAGTTTTGTTCGCTAATCAAATTTACAATGGGTTTAAGTTTCAAATTAATTTCACTGTACAGATTATTTTAAAATTACAGATTATAAACATAGCATTGATTAGGTTTGGTAAAAAAGTGATAGGAATTGAAAAACAAATTAGAAACTCAATTCTGGACGTTGGAATTCTTTTGAACCCGCTTGAATAGTCAAAACTGTGAAATTCGGTACAAGAAAGTTCATATTCAATGTTCATATTTGAATGTTTCACATAATCCCATAATCAATCAATCATTATGATAATCATGTTTCAATTTTTGTGATTTTCCATTTTTAAATTTTATCCGAGAAATGTAATTTCCAGTACCTTCAACCTTAATTGTTATCATGCAATGCATGGTTAACCGTTAACAGACAAATCCCAGTGAAATTTTGGTCCAAGAAAGTTAATATTAGAATATTTTCTACCGAGCGTGCTAAATCACTCTACACTCGAACTTCGAGATAATTCCAAATTACTAACTGATGTATTTTTGAACGCTGATTCCGAGTCACCCCACACGACATAAGGTTAAGAAGCTCTCCTGGTGAGTTATCAGCGAAAAACTGTCCCGATCACGTGACATGGCCTGATTTCTCGTTAGGGTTTTAGCATCTAGGCTTCAGTTAGGGATTGGGTGGGGTTGGAGTGGAGTGTTAAGGTTTTGAATAGTCTATCACGGCCATATAGAGGACGTGATTAAGTAAGTCACGTGTAGAGTGATTAATCATCATCCTATTTCTACGGTAGTACATTTTGGCGATTTCCCATTTTTAGAAGCTTTCTCCGGGAATCTAACTTTCAGTACATAAATTGTATCTTATGCTATCTATACTTAACTGGCTAATTGGTCGGCAGAGAGTAATTTGGTCAAAACTAATATTCAGAACTTAAAATTTCATATCTAAGTGTTCCAAAATATCCCATTTTGGTGATTTTTAATATTTTACTGCTTTCGCCGGCTATAACTTCCAGTAGCTTAATTTTGTGTTATGCCATCCATAGTTAACTGACATATTGGTCAGAGGAGCAATTAATTCGGTCAAAGGAAAGTTTATATTTAAAAGTTTCCCTTTATGTCTCATTTTGTTGATTTTCAATTCGATCTGCTCCAATTATTCAGTCGTGTCTTGTGCCATCCACAGTGAACTCACTAACTGATCACGAAAAAATTCATTTAAAACAGTGGACACGATTAAAGTAAACTGGACTGATTCCGAGTATTACTAGCACAGATACGACTTAGATGTGATTGAGTCAGCTAGCGTATACGTAATCAGGACGTACGTGCGCGGCTCGACTAATCGATTTATTGCGTGGGATACCTTTTACTTACATCTAAGCGTGTTCCAAAATAGACCAATCACGGAAGTCCGTTAGCCACAAATTGCCAGCGTCACATTCGAACAGAAAATGGATATATCGAACACAACTTTTGGACAAGACAATCTATCGATTACCAATACATCGTTGGAGAGTAACCGCTAAATTAATAGTACATTTCTCCCTAGAACATTACATTAACATTGGTAAGTGGAGAATTAACAAATCTTTTATCTCCAAAACAAGGTCGAAATTCTCAATTATAAATATTACAATCCGGTATAACAATATAAACTTTAAGACAAAAAACAAAAAAAGAACTTAGAAGACTTAAAAATATCGCACCCAAGAACAATTTCAAATTTTTACCAAGCTTCAAGTCTTTTATCATAAACTCTTAAAATCTTGATCTGTTAAATATGTTGTATCGCTTTACTGTGTAGCAAAAAATCTTCATTTTCTAAATTTAGCTCTTTTTCTTTAGTTAGTTTGGTGGTGCAGGAGATCACAGAAAGTTGCTGCCCCGAGAATCTGAAATGGTTTTAATCCGTAAGATTTTTGTCAAGACACCTAATCATCAGAGAATGTCAAAATTAGTGAAATTTTCTTAATTTTATTATATATAATTATTCATGAAGAGGGTATAGACAGTGGCGTAACGAAAGGCCCTGCTGACCCCGCTGTGCAGGGGGGCGCCGTCTTAGGGGGGCGCCAAATCGTCGTTTGAATGTGGGACAATTTCGAAAACTTAACTAAAGTACTAGCAAAACTGCGCGTTTTGCTCTAGATACACACTTTTTTAGAGATTTTACCGGCGTATTCTTTAAAATCACCTAATTTGTTCAATTTAAGGGAGGGGCACCAAAAGGGGAGGGGGCGCCAACAGGGGGGCGCTTTTTTCGGCAGGGGGGCGCCAACAGGCAACGTTACGCCACTGGGTATAGAACCAGGAATACAAAGTTTATACAGATAATATTACTGCGAACATATTAAAATATAAATGAAACTTACTAGAAGAAGTAGGAAGTATATTTTCTCCGGCTACCAGGCCCAAGATTAACTGTATCGGAACTAGCCACACACATATTGTGAAGTAGGCAATTATCTGTGGATTGAAGACATGTTACTATCTTTTGTTAGGATGTGTTTTGGCAATTCATCAGGTCTCGTATCTGATCCTTTAAAAAAATGTATGTCTCAGAGGCTACAGAGAAGAATTTTTGTACAATGTACCTGTGAGAAGGAGAGGAATCTATCTTTGAAGAACCAGTATGCTGTCACGTGGTTTAATATCATACACACTGAAACCAGGATGTTAGATAGCCAATATCTTTTAGATAAACAAAGAATTTAAATATCATTTAATACCATCTCGTTCAGAGGATCGTGATTAGAGAAATTACTCTAATTTTATTGAAAAATTAGTTAAATTAATAAACTAACGATACACCCAGTACTTAAAAAGTTTAATATTTTCTAACCGATAAGACCCATAAAAGAAGGAGATACCATCTCGATGTTAGGGAACTGTTCAATGACTTGCCAAGCCATGATAAAAGTTAGAATACCCAGGATTAGGTTTAGTGTTCCTGTACCCTCGAACAGAAACATAGTAAGATAAGCTCCCACCACTGCCTGAAAAGTGACGTCATTCAGCAAATACTTTCAGGAGATTTAATACTGGTAACACTTCTCTAAGATGTATGAAATTCTTTGAGCTGAAATGTTGTAGTGTCTAGAGGAATAAGTTTCAACAAAACTAGAACTTCTTTATAATTTAATAAAAGTAATTATTTAATTTACTCACGATGTTACTCCATTTAAAAAAGCTTCTAGAGATCGACGTGTAATCTTCTATAACTTCAGTTATGTAGAATAATCCCGCCGCTAAGAAATAATTGTATATATTGCAATGGTTTACATTATTAATATACAACACACAAGATTCTCAGAATAATAAGCAAGATAACTTACCTATACAGACTGTGGCAAAGAGGATTTCCAGAAAAAAAGCGATCCAATGAAGGATAGCGAAAGCCCAGCCCATCGGTACAGCTATCTCTGTGGTTAGGAATAATCATATCACATTCATGATTTAGATCGTGCAATATTACATATGCTAAATATGTTATATGAAGGATAATTTCCGTCTGAAATTTTGTTCCAAATTTGTCATTAAACAGTAAATTAGTGTTCAGTATAGTAGGGACTGTTCAATACTAGAATGAAATTTTTCTGCTTTCGATAGAAATCTTCAAATACTGTAGTATCTAAGTATCAGCTTTAATTGGCCCTTGGAAAACACAAACATTTCAGGGCCAATATAAACTGACAGAAACTATATTAATAAATATCAATAAAAAAACAGCACTCAGCAGTTCCCCAATAACTTAGAAGCACATTAAAATACAAAAATACAGATCATAAAAGCGCTCAACAGTCACCACCCGTGACCCAGTTATGTTATCTAAGTTTAGGCAGAGGTTTGCTCCTCTGATCCTCATCTCTGACCATACCCAGTCTCTCCTGAATCTCCCGTCTTGTGGGCAGCAGGGCAGTGTCACTTTCCATCACATACTTAACATCCCTGTCCCACTGCAAATAACTGCTCAGAGATAAAATACCCAGATCTGTGTTGCCCTCCCACAACACGTCCCGGTATGCGTTCTCGGAATTAAAATCAAAATTTACGTTCAAATCCATGACGTCGGTGTCGTTTGTAATGTCTGTGTCGTGGATAATGAGACGTGGCACGTCCCATGGAACGTGTTTTGGGATCTCACAGAATGGGGCCGTGAGAAGGTCTGATCCTATGACAATGAGCAGGTCACAGTTCTCAGCATCCACATCAGCTTGTCTGAATATGGAGCTGGAACACTCGTGGTACCACCTGATGTCAGGAGCTGTTTTGTGGAAACATTTCGAACAGTTCGGGAATTGAAACATTTCCATTCGCTCCTTCAACCAGAGCAGGTCGTATGCTGTTTCACACGCCCTGTTTTCACATCGCCAGGTCAAGAATGAACCATAGAACTCTATTAACTTATCAGATCTGATCCCACAAACCTTCTCTAAGTTGTCGATGTTCTCTGTCCAATTTCTAAGTAACAGCCCTTTCTCTTGAAGTGTTCTTATGAAATAATGTGCATACGTTGGCCGATGGTTTCCAGGCCACAAACCCTGCACAAAACGAAGCATTCCGTACGGCAGAAGAGAAAAATGGTATTTTTCAAACAATTGTTTGGCGTCCTCCTTCTCCGTCCACCCCTTCTCACCCATCAGCTTCCTAGCCTCAATACCCCCTAGCTTCCTATAGTTAGGAATACCAGCAGGAGCAGATATCCCGTGTCCAGATAACACTAGAATGTTCTGACACTCCGCTGTCATCATGTATTTAGCTACACCCTTTAGTGAAAGTTCTGTGAGACGTGGTCGTCCTGTTAGTGAGAGTGGGAATTCTGGTTCACGGACCGTCACTGCAGAGGACTGGAGCAAGTCCACTTGTTTTTCGTGGCCGAATAGTTTGAATATTGTCCGGACATTTTGGGGAGGTTTCTTCGAGTTTACTACGATGCGAAACATTGCACGTATACATTCACGAATCTGAGCTGAAGCCGAGGGAGTGGATTGAGTTTGGATTACGATAGAATATTTTTAAGTGATGAACATTGAACAATCTATCCTCAATGTCACAATTCAATTAAATTTTATAATTGGAATTCGGATCAAGAACGCTATTCAGTAAAATTATTGACACAGCGATATGGAAATTGAAAGAGAGTAAAACTACCTTATTTTGTAAGTAAGATAATTAAATAAATAAATAATGACAATATGATATAGGTTAATTATTTTAATACAATTTAAAATATCTGATATTTGTTACATTTCTATACGTTATTCTATTTACATTCATCTAAAAAACATTCTAAAAGTCTTTTACCCACTTGTATAACATATATTAATAAATTCTGAATAAATACATAATTAAAAAAGTTGGTCATGATGCACAGAAATTTAAAGTGTTTTCCAAAACACAACTTGTAAATTGTAAAGTTATGTAAGTGTGACGTCATGGAAATTACTGTTTGTCTTAATATATTGTGTTAAAATCATATAAAACTATCTGTACTACGGTCAAATTAATGAAATGGTCACACGATTTGGTAATTTAGATAATAAATAAGATTAAGATACTTTCATGCTATATAATAAGAGGCTGGAACAGTTATATCAAGATCAGTTTAACATCGTCTCTACACAATTGTGATTAAAAAACTGAAAGACTGAAGAATTAAAACTGGATTTCATTAATCCCGAACGAAACTCCAGATTTTAGAACCTCTTCATTTAACTTTAAAGAACAAATCATCAAGTAACGTGTCCTCCTCCTGCGCAGACTGTTCCATCTCATCAATCAGCGAGATTAGTCTATCACCGTACCTCTTCACTCCATTTTGTGATCTTTTAACTACCTGCTCCCGGACCAGTATCACACTATCCTTAATTCTAGCAGGTTCTATCGGATGGTTCTCGTCCGCCTCGAAAGTGAGATTTGGATCAAGGGATGGGTTCACTAGCTGTCCCTCTGTCTTGTGATTGTGAACTATAACAGGTTCACTGCTCTTCACAGGCTCCCGTTCCACAGTAGATAACTTGTCACAAAGTGAGTCCAGTTTGTTGAGGAAGAGAGCCATGGAGTCCTCTACAATATCTGGCTTGCTTGCGGAGGAGTCCGAGGAATCTGTTTGTGTGTCCTTGCCGTGCTGTTCTGTTCCCTCTGTTTGTACCTGGTTCATATTGATTAGTTGGAACATCAAAATAATGAGATAACATGTATTTTATATAATACTATAACCAATCCCTCTCAGTGGCTATCATGATGCAACATTTTTTAGACTTTAAAAAATTCGAAAGCTACTTTACGAGATCAGTTCACATCATGCAATTACAGGAGCGGCCAAACGTCAGTACACATACGTTGGGGCTTATTTCAGCTTATATTCAGCGACGTCATAGGTTATCTCACGTGTGGTAGTCTAGTGAGACGCTTTAATACTTATTCCTCCACAAGACTGCGCTTAATTCCTCCACTCGTGGACACTGAGAGCTGATAATTTGCAGATATTTCCCGCAAGGGAAGCGAAGGTATTATCAGCACAGACTGCGAGTCACCTCAGACTGGCTGGCGGGAAGTTTAAAAACAAATAATAGTTGCGCACTATATATTACACACTTTATTGTATCAGCGCACGTATCACATTACACAGAAACTGGAAATAAATTATAACACAATAATACCTTTGCTTCTCCGGGCTACGGGTGATAATTTCCGACAGCTTGCTGTAGGGAATTTGCGGCCAGAAGAAGCGAAGGTATTATTTGTTATAATTATTGACGGTGGCTCGTGTAAGATGTGTAATGTGATACGTGCGCATGATACAATATAGTGTGTAATATATAGTGCGCCAATGTTATTTGTTCTGAAACTTCCCGCCAGCCAGTCTGAGGTGACTCGCAGTGCAGTATGTGCTGATAATACCTTCGGTTCCTTGCGGGAAAAATCTGAAAATTTTCAGCTCTCAGTGTCGACGAGTTTTAGTGCATATAATTCCCGGAAATAGTTATAATATAATAATAGCTTGGCTATTGAGTGCTGAGCGCGATAATCCCGACAGAGCTTAGCTGGAGGGAACGCGCGGGCACGAAATTGCCAAGCTTTATGTATTATAATATTTTTCCGGTTCCCGTGGAAGGGGTGTAATCGATACGTGCGCATGGATACAATATAGTGTCTAATATATAGAACGCCAGTGTTATTTGTTTTTACAACTTGCCGCCAGCCAGTCTGAGGTCTATGCTGATATTACCTTGGCTTTCCTTGCGGAAAAATGGTGCCCAAATTAATCCAGCTCCTCCGGTGTCCCCCCCCCCCCGGAGTTTTAAGTGGGATATCATTTTCCCCGGAAAGGGGTTTTTTTTAATAACAAATAAAGACCTTGGATTCTTTACTCCCGGGGACCCCGCCGGTTTTCACCCCTCAGCAAGCCGTGTCGGGAATTAAATCGCCCCTCAAAAAAACCAAGGTAATTACTTGGGATTTATAAATGGCCCCGAGCCTCAAGGGGTGTCAGGCCATTTTGGAAAAATATTTCTATAATAGATTTTAATTGTGTAAAACGCTAAACCAGGTTCCCCCCCCCCGTTGGAATTTAGTCCCCATAAACCTTGGGCCGTATTTTTTATTGTGCCCCCCTGGCACGGCTAAAAGCCGCCTGTTTCTGGTTAAAAAGACCAGAGGTTTTGAAAAGTAAACAGGGGGTTAAACCTCCGGAGGGTTAGGGGGAATTATTCCTTTTATTGAAAAATTTTAACCCTTCAAAATCAATGCCATAGTTTTGGAGTACCCGCCCTATCTTTTGCCTTGCCCAAAAGTGCCAAGCAAAAATGTTTCCCCCGGTGTACCTCAGATAAGTAAATTAAAACCACAGGATGGGTTTTGTTAAACCTTTGGCGGAGACAGAATTTTAAAGACGACCCAAGTAAATCGTTTTTTAATAGTTTTTAAACTTGTAGTTATTTAAATTGTTGACCTACAGTTTTTATTTTTCAACCACGTGTAAACCGCTTGATTGTCCTATTTTTAATAACAACACCTAAGAAAGCCCCTGTTGTCAACAGGGAGGGAAGCAATAGTATTTTTTGGATAGTTTAGTTTACCCTTTGCCATTGTGGCCTGATTGGATCCCCGCAAAGTGATGTATTTATTCCCAAAATTGATATAAATAAGCCCCTTAATCTAAAATTACGGGTAAACTTTAACGTTTTTGATTTTTTCAATCCTTAGAAATTGTATTTTAAAAAACCACGATATTTTTATTTAAATTTAAAAAACCCGGGCCTGTCACTAAAAATGTACGTTTTACAAGAAATGATCTCATATCCCGTCCCCCCCAATTGTTACCATTCAACCAAATACAACATTATTTACCCTGTTATTACTATGAAATAGTGTTGGACGTTTGGAATTGTCTTCTGCCATTTGTGTGTTTTCCTATTAGTTAGTTGAAAAGATGAAAGGACTCGGAGAAGTTTTACTATTTCCTCCAAGTTTTGGTTCGAATAATCCGTTTAAGGATCCCTCAACCTTTTATTACCGTTACTCAGCTTTTGAGCTTTTTCCGTTTTTTCCGAGGCCAGCCCCCCTCCCATGGCTACTCTTCCCAACCTCTGGGAAGCAAATACTGACATGTTTCCCTGAAACAATGTACAGGTATATTATTGCCACTTAAAATGGTACAAATTGGTCCCCCAATTTGGTAAGAGGGAACTTTAGCTAAGTAGCAATATCCCATCCCGTTTACTATCCATCAGGGGGAACTTTGTAGGGGTTTTTACACGTGGGGGGGGATAATAATGGGTTTCAACTTTAGATTTGGTTCCAAATCCATGAATCCGTTTAATTAATGGGTACTGGCTTCTTATAGTTAGTCGAACAATGGGTTATAATTCACTTCAAAGAAAAAACTGCCTTAAGTCCCGTTGATGCTGTGGAAAATCTTTGTAATCTCCTTTATGAAACGTGCGGTTATTTTTCCTTTTTTTCAAGACTGAAACCTGCCCAAAAGAATTCATTCGGCAAATCCCCCCTTTTTTACATTTATAATGTTTGTTCCAATTTATCCAATAACAATGGGACAAATAATCATGGAAAAAGGCCTATATTCCCGAGGCATCTCCTTTAATTTTTTTCTTTTTTTTGTAATTAGTTTTGTCCTGTTTACGGCAACCTAGAAAAACCTGTATACCCGGTTTGCCTTTTTTTTAGTTTTAAGCCATACAAAGCTATTTAAGTTTTTGACAAGAAGACCTATCACAAAAGTATCATCCTGTTTGATTTTTTTGGGGGAAATGCCTGTGGTGGGAAATCTTCTTGGGTTTTTTCAAAAACCGATCAATAGAAAAATAGTACTATAGAAAGCCAAGACCAATCTCCCTGCAGTTAAATGCCTTGGGTTGTTTTTATTTTCCAACAGTAATGGCTGAACGAAAATTTGTTATTTTAGTTACCCTCCCCCTCCTGAAAACGAAAGTCCGAAGTACCCCAAAAGTTAAAGGGAAAAAACCCGTTGTTTATCCACCCTTCCCCCCCCCCCCCGACCCAATAATTAATAAATAATGATTGGGGGGGTAAATATGTTTCATTAAATCCTAAAATTAATATATTTTGAACAGCCTATTCTAGCAAATGAATCCCATCAATGTAACAAAAGACCTTTTAATCTGAATAAAATTAGTTATGGTAAATTTTCAATTTGAAGAAAAATAGAATAACGATGTTCAACTGTTTTTATCCGCAGGGTTAGTTGTTTACGGGAGATTCTGTAAAGAAAAAGTGGGGATAGCCCCTTGCTGTAGACGAAATGGGCCTACACAACCCGCTTTCAATGCCCTGTTGATACAATCTTATAGGTGAAGGAACTTGCTTTTACTTTTATAACTTTTGTTGTTAGAAAATTTTAGTGGCCTTTTGGGGATTTCCATTTTCCCATTAATTTGCGTTGTAATTCCTGTTTTTTCCGGAGTAGATTAAATTTATGATAGGAAACT